TCCTGGACCAACCCAAATGCACTTTCAACAAGTGGCTTGTCAGGTGACATGTTCATGGTGGTAACAAGTGGCTTGTCCTCAGGGCTGAATTCTGCATATGCCTCCTAAACTCTAAACATGCATGAATCTGGTAAAGGGCCCACCATCCCTCTGTAGAGTCCACTTCTGTGTAGAAATATTTAGGTTAATTATTGTTGGTAACATTACATTTCTCATTGCTTTAATTACTATTTCAGTTTTTTTATTTTATTTTATATGTATTATTTTAAATGCTTTAACAGCATAAAGCCTTGCAATGAAATGTAACAAAATATCTTTGTTCTCAGCCTCCTTGTACCATTGAAAAAAATGTGGTTGCTGAACTTCACCTCACTCCACCTTGTGCAGAACGGCTTGCTACAGGTTTTGTGATGACCATGGCATTGATCGGGCCTGGTTTCACACCCTGACAAACAAATGTAAATAATCATATAACAAATGTTAAACTACAAATGTTAAATGTACTTTTAAAAGAATTCAGTTTCTACAAATTAACCTGCATAACATAAACAACATTCTTAGAAAATTTAACCATGATATCTTTAATATGAACAGAATAAGGTCATGTCAAATATTGAAATCATGGTGAAATAAATGGTTGAAACTAAACTTTAAAGCTCCTAATCTTAAAATTACATTGAGATTTTAGAGTAAACTTCACAAACAATGTCACATATTGTGATTATACTGTCTAACAAATAAGCCTACATTTCTAAGGTTAAATTACCATTGTTCGTGGTTTATGCCAGGATTGTTCTTTTTCAGTGCAGCTAAGCACAGGGGGTACAACAGATAAATTAAGCTGGGAATAATGAGCAGTTTGAAACAGCAAGGCAACCGTATGATTGCACAAAGCAGTGCCTGCCACACATGAACACTTGCTGTGTGAGCATCACAGGTTAAGCATCCTTGAGTCCCACCTAAAAAAAATATGTATATATATACATAATTATTAATTGAATAAAAGTTAGAAGCATGTTAATTTTAGTAGAACAATAACCAAGGTGGCTTTGTAGGTGCAGATAACACTTTGGCTGCTCTGGGTTTATGTAATACTTACGTACTAAAACCATTTAGGTTTCTTAAATATGGAAGCCAAATTCAGACTGACAACATTCTGATTTTTCTGCAAAACCTTCTTGTTATTTGTAATACTTCAAGAAAATGAACACATCGGAACACACATGAACAATTCGGAACACAAATGAAGGCATTTGAACACTTGAACACATTTAAACACACTTGAACACCTGAATAGTGGTAAAGTTGGTTTTATATTTGCACATTTGAATTTTCCCCTTAATAATATAATTTTATAAAAGTTTTATATGCAAGCTCTAAATAGCTCAATCATATTAGAAGCAAATATCAAAGTACAACATTGTTCACAGTCAAATAAACAGTATTAATGTTGTTTTCAAGTCACACTTGTATGCTAATTCCGATCGAATATTCAAAGTAAAATGGTAAACAATATAGATACTTCTAAATAAACGAATGTGCGATAATAAAAAACAACTTCACCTCTAAAACACCTGAACTGCTTTTGGAGAACGGTGAACCCTATGTCACTAGCATACTATTAAATTGTGTGGTGCCTCATTTTTCCTCATTGATCTGTAGCACAAGGCTCTAACGCAGACTTCCCCTGACACCCTGTCTTTATTTGAAACTGATAACAATAACACAAACACATGATGAAAACAATAAATGCATTCCTGTTTGTTTACAGTTAGCCAACAATTGACGTTAGCAATGAAATTGATTAACATTAAATGTTGCTTACCTTCGTAACCGTGTATATACGAGGCTGCGTATAATTTAAAGCCTTTTTCCAGCTTGCTGGATGGAGCTGTTATAGTTCTGCAAATGCGATGCACATCGGTAACGTTAATCCGTGGGAGGTCCTGGAGACAGCGGGTGTAGAACATAGCCATTGCTAAACCGGAACTGAGTGAGCCCTATTGAAAAGAACGCGGAAGTAGGCGTGCATTTAGCGCATTCACCTGTACCGCATGTTTTTTCGATTGTGGGGAAAACCAGAGCACCTAGAGGAAACCCACGCGAACACTGGGAGAACATGCAAACTCCACACAGAAATGCCAACTGACCAGGGCACAGTACTGTGTGTGTGTATGTATATATATATATATATATATATATATATATATATATATATATATATATATATATATATTGCATAAACTTTTCTAATATATTTATATTTGTTTCATTATTAATTTAATTTGTATTTATTTACTTTTTTACGGTAAATACAATTGTCATTACTATACGCAGTTTTTTTCCTATATTTGTGTCTGCCTATTATTGTAATTGTATTACTTCTTGCTTGTTTATGCATGTTAAGCCTACTTGGTTTGCATATTTTTTGAACATTTAATAAAAATAAATGAATAAAAACATAAAAATTAGATGTAGTATATAATCCCAAATCTTATTTTTAAAAAAGTCAGTGGTATGGAGTTTCTTCCTCTTTCAGTTTTTATTTGCCCACTTAATAATGCTGGTTAGTAATAGTATATTTATATATATATATATATATATATATATATATATATATATATATATATATATATATATATATATTTAAACACACACAGTATATATACAGTTAAAGTCAGAATTATTAGCCCCTCATGTTTTTTTTTTTATATATTTCCTAAAATATGTATAACATAGCAAGAAAATTTTCACAGTATTTTTTTTTTTTACTTCTGGGGAAAGTATTATTTGTTTTATTTCAGCTCGAATAAAATCATTTTTTTATTCTTTTAGAAACCCTTTTAAAGACATAACCATTAGCCCCTTTAAGCTATTTAGCTGGTTAACAAACCATCCTTATAAAATTACTTGTCTAATTTACTGTCATCATGGCAAACATAAAATAAATCAGTTATTAGAGATTAGTTATTAAAACTATAATGTTTAAAAATGTGCTGAAAAAATCTTATCTCCATTATACAGAAATCGGGGAAAATAATAGACTTTTTTTTTTTACTTGTTCAAACTACTTAATTAAAATGTGCTGAAATAACACAAGTCTTGAGATTTCATTGGGACAACTTAATGTTCAGTCCACATACATTTATTAAAAGTGTTAAGTTAACTTAATTTGTGTTGTGACAACATGAAAGAATTGTGTGGAACCCTGCACAAATATGGTGATCGGTTCATAATAAGTTGAAGCACACTGTCAGATTTTGCTGTATTTAACATTCTTGGGTGGCTCGCCAATGTATAGATAACTCTAATACATAAAATAAGTAAGCTGACCAAAGTTCTTAAAGGGAGAAGACTTTATTGAAGACAATTAATTGTGCAGTTCATCAGCAGTGATGTTAACTTGTCCGTCTTCAAGTAACCTAAACCAAAGTACAGTCTGTGAGACACTAATTTATAACAAAGCATGAAACCCCCCTGGAGATTACCCAACTGCTTTGGTTGGGTCACATCTCTTGAGTTCCTGTAGGTCATTTGGTTCACACCTTATCAGAAGCAGATACTTGTTGCATATGAAACAAGCCAATACAATCTATCAACATATAAAGTTATTTTGCCTTCTTGCAGCCCGATATTAACTCTCACAACCTGGTACTAGGCTGTGACCCCTGATCTACACTACAAAACAGCTGGCAAAATCTTCATCCCTCTTCAGTTGAGTTTAAATTTTCAGGTGTTCAAAGGGTTTCATTATCAGTAACTTGATATGCATTCAAGAGTTCACACTTGTTTGGCATGCTATCTAAGCTCTAAAGGAGAGATCTAAGCTCACAAGATCCTCGAGCCCTGGGCTCCCTCCCGTTAGCAGGACGAGAGGGGAGTGTGGGCTCAGGTAGATCTCGATGAACTCCCCAGACTTCTTTCTATTCTAATGACAGATATAGGGTCGGCTAAAGGGAGATATAAGGCTTACTAAGAGCTCGACTATGGTGCCAATTTAATGTTCAGTTTACTTAGGTTGTGTGTTTTTGGACTGGGAGAAAACCAGGGGACCCAGGGGAAACCCACGCGAGCACAGGGAGAATGAGCAAACTCTGCACAAAAATGTCAACTGGTTAGTAGGGACTTTAACCTGCGACATTCTTACTGTGAGGCAACTGTGCTAACCACTGGCTAATCATTGGCTGCCGTGTTGCCCAATCTTGAAAGGAGGGGGAGTAAGGGTGGGAGAGGGATTATTCAAGACAAAGATAACTGAGTTAAGCTACGGTCACACTAGGCTTTTCCTCCCATAGACTTGCATTCATACGCACGTGAATGCGTCAGACCAAAAACACAGGGTCATGCGTAAAGTTTCGCAGGTTGCTGAAGTGCAAAGTTCATGCTTGGTGAACTCTGACCTGCGAAATCGCATCACTTGACTGCATGAGACCCATCGAGAATCAAAACATGACCTCTCTGGACAGAAGTTTAAACCATGGAGCAATTGCTCATTTTTTTATTTCTAAAAAATCTTGTTTGATCCCGCCCCTTTTCACAGCGCCGTACAACCGAATTTCACAATCTCAAACTCTAGTGTGACCGCAGCTTTAAGAAACTCTTGTTATTCATAGTGAGTTAGGAATTATCTCATTGGTGAATTATGTTTTAGCTAATGCTGGACCAGCCGTGGACAATCATAAGCATGTGATCCCCTCGAAAGTAGTTTATAAATAAACTTCACTTTAATGAACAGCCAAACTACGTGAAAAAGCTGCCGTTTTGAATATACCCGTGTTTGTGTGGACAAGGGCTCAATAATGAGGACTCTGCTCTCCATTGTGAAGCTTCATGTGAGTGTTGAGGCTTCTTTTACTTTTAAAGCCCTTTCCACACTCACAGCATCTAAAACGATCCTCTCTTGAGTGAGTCTTCATGTGTTGCTTAATGGTGTCTTTGCGTGTGAGACTCTTTCCACACTGATCACATGTGAACACTATGGTTCCAGTGTGACCATTCATGTGGTTCTTGAGGCTAAATTTGGTTGTGAAGCTCTTTCCACACTGAGCACATGCAAACGGCTTCTCTCCAGTGTGAGTTCTCATGTGGTGATTGAGTGTGTTTTTATGTGGGAAACTTTTACCACACTCTGTGCATGTGTAAGGTTTCTCTCCAGTGTGAATCCTCATGTGGATGTAAAGGTCTTGTTTTTTACCTAAACTCTTTCCACACTGTTCGCAGGTGTAGGGTTTCTCCCTAGTGTGAACTCTCATGTGAGCAATCAGGTTTAGCTTTGTACTGAAATTCTTTCTACACTGTTTACAGCTGAAAGGCTTCTCTCCAGTGTGAATTCTTTTGTGCACTTCCAAGTTTCTTGCATGACAGAAGCTTTTTCCACACTGTTGGCATGTGTACGGCCTCTCTCCAGTGTGAATTCTCATGTGGGCTTTAAAGCTTCGTTTTTGACTAAAACTCTTTCCACACTGTTCGCAGGTGTAAGGTTTCTCCCCTGTGTGAACTCTCATGTGAACATCAAGGTTTGGCTTTTGACTAAAACTCTTTCCACACTGCTTACAGCTAAAAGGCTTCTCTCCAGTGTGAATTCTCATGTGTGCTGCAAAGTGTCCAGCATGATAAAAGCTTTTTCCACACAGTTGGCATGTGTACAACCTTTCTCTAGTGTGAATTCTCATGTGGGCTTTAAAGCTTTGTTTTTGACCAAAACTCTTTCCACACTGTTCGCAGGTGAAAAGTTGCTCCCTAGTGTGAACTCTCATGTGAACATTAAGGTTTGACTTTTGACTGAAACTCTTACTACACTGTTTACAGCTGAAAATACACCCCAATTTGGATTTCCGAGGTCTTCTGTGTGATGAAGTCTTTTTAGTCAGTGTGGGTTTTTTATCAGTCGTTATTTCTTGGGGTTTCTCAAACTGCTGCTTCTCATCTATTTCATTCTGTTGATGAGTCTCTTCTTTCAGCATCATCAAATCTAAAAAATAAAAAAAAGTTAGCTTTAGTATGAAGACTCAAAGCGACAAGCAAGAAATGGATGTTTTCACGCAAATATTAAAATGAACTTACCATTTACTCTCCGTCATGTGGTTTGAAACTTTCCTTTATTGTGGAACACAGTAAGCCAGTAGCGTTTTTTTTTAATATCTTCTTTTGTGTTTAACATGATCAAGAAACTCATAAAGGTTTAAAACCACACGAGGAAGAGTAAATGGTGAGGCTATTTTCATTTCTGCATTAACTATCCCTGTAAAAGGTTCCTACAAATACCCATTTTTTACAAGATGTAAAATAAGTCTTTGGTGTTCCCAGAATGTGTCTGAGGTTTCAGCTCAAAATCAGATCGTATACCTTGGAGAATATTTAATTTTGGGGGTCAGAGGAAAACCAAGCTCTTTTTTTGTGCCTGTGGCTTTAAATGCAAATAACCAAATGCACTCACTCTACATTACTCGTGTTGTTTCCTCGATTGAGATCAATTCTGCATGTTCATAGCAAGTATGCATAATTCACGCTTATATTTGCAAGTTTGAATTATTGTATAAAACTTATGCAAATGCTTAATGCCACGTTTGCTTTAAACTGGAGTAATGAGGAGATGGCAAGATGACATGCTTTGCTACTTGTTTCTATTTATTTGTACTTTTGTTTTTGTTTTCTTGTCTTTGTGCATGTCCTGAGGCTTAGCTGAAGACCTACTTGGTGACATTGTATATACCTGACAAGATGCAGAAATGCCATCTAAAAAGGTTACTTGCGGTTAGTCCAATATACAAATATACAAAATAATAATGATAACCCAGGGTTTACGAATGTGAAATGTCTGTTAATGAACATCCAGGATTATTGTTTAACCCCAGGTATAGCATGAGCAGTGTGGAAGGTGACTACAGATAACCCAGAATTTATCCAGGGTTAGAATGACCCAGGGTTAACAATTTGAAGTGTGAAAAGCCCTAAGAATACTCAGCATCAGCTCTCAGGATAAACAGATTATAATGACAAACAGCGACAATTTTCAATCATGTCATGATGACCTGGGGCCTGTTTCAGTAAGGAGGTTCAACCAACTCAGAGTTTAAACTTGAACTCTGAGTTGATTTACAGAGAGATTAAATACTCAGGGTTTTCAATTTCAGAAAAACATTTGAGCTACAAAAGTCTTTCAGTCAAGAGCAGTGAGGGATTTTCTCCTTTTGTTGTTTGATTAATGCTAAAAACAGTCGGCAGCAGGAATATTGCGCACTGTCACTTTAAGAATAGTGCGGCTCTGATATGGTTTCTCTTTCACATGTCTTTTGATTCTCAACTTGTTTATTTGTATACACAAATGAGGGTTAATATGAATAATCACTAAACACCACACAAATTTGCATGTATCTGACATAATCGCTCACATTAAGATGGGATTAGATGTGTGTTCTCTGCTTGTCTCCGAGCCTGTCCAAGGCTAAGCGCTGCGCACACACAGAGCATGTGCACTTACGCACTTTTAAAAATAGTAATGATGCGCGTCCCGTGCTGCAAAAGTTAAATTACAGCACATGCTTTTAGTCATTTTCACGTGGAACTGAGCTTTGCAGAGCAACAAGTGTGTACAACTGGAAAGGGTGTGGTATATGATGGAATAATCGTTTATCTCGATTAATGATTTTTTATAATCATTAGAAGCAAAATTGAAATTGAAACCAGATTTTTGATTAATTGCACAGCCCTATCAAGTGGTAGAGGTTGATATGACATTTAGAATGTAAGCAGGACTAAACAAATCTTTTTAGAACGAGTAATAATCCCATTAATCTAGTTACAGTACATGTCCGTCAAAGGTTAGTGAATTTAAGCTAATTATTCATTAAGAAAGGACAAGCCATTCTGCTATCTGACTTTGTTCTTTGTGTAACTGAAACGTAGGCAATAGCTATGCTTCCATCCAAAAATGCAAATTAAATTTATGCGCAAAACTGGGATGTCACATAAAAGATGTGCGAATAAAGCTGCGTTTCCATCCAATGAATCAAAGAGAACAAAATCGTCTCTTCCTGATTAACAGGCCCCAAATATGAACAGTAAAAACAGAATTTCCTGCAGTAGAAGAAGCTACATGAATCTTTTCTTTATTTAAATGACTTTCAGCTCAGAGGACAATGCTGGCACACAATGAACACGTGTTGGCGTTTGAAGCAATGAGACGCAGAGAACAGATGCTCTGGAGGTCAATAATGATATAATAACATTAATATTGAAATGGTTCATGTGTTTTAGAATAACCAAAACAACATTTCAGATGTTTATAATGTTCTCAGCCTGCTGGTTTGTGCATTCACACATTTTCATCATCATATGATCTCTTATAACAAACCTTTTAAAACACACATACGGGAATTTGTTCAGTAAAAGTGCTTGCGTTGTTTACGTAAGCTTATCTTCTCTCATCAAATAAAAAGTTTGTCCTACTCAGTTATGCACATGTTTTTTTATGCTTATTTTTCAAAAGTTATGTGCATCGTGACATTTCCATCAACCAATTTTTTTATCCTCATAGCCTACCCAAAATGCATATAAAAATAGGTGGCTGGAAATGTACGGCTAAGCAAGAAATACCGCTTTATCTTTTAAAAAGGGGAGAAGACCGACAGAAAACTCTCTTTCAGAGACAGGCTTGACTTACCCAGCTTTCTCGAATTTGACAAACCTGCAATTTTGAAACGGAAAACCCAGAGTTTCTCTCATTTCAGGGTTAAAATACTTTACACTTATCCTTCTTTCTGGAACAGGGCCCCAATCTCATATGCTATTGTTTTGCAACTTCAGTTGCCTATTGGAGAAATGACCAAGAATAATAAACGTCAGAAAATGGTCACACTACTTGCTCTGCAAACAAGTGTGTTCATGTCTGTACAAAGAAAAAGAAAATAAGAAAATATGACGTTGCAACATCAAGCAGCTATGGCATGGGCCAGTATAAGATTCAGCTTCATGGTACTGTGATTACTGCTCTAAAATATATTCTTTTAAATGTCTGCGTAAAAAAAAAAAAACACTTTTTCCTCTTTGAACACAAAACATTTTCTTTTGAGAAACTTATAAAATATTTTACAGCAGTAAACATGTCAGGCTAAATCATTCATTTGAATCCTTGACTTCTGCTGTCTTCATTTGTTTCATAAACACAGATTTCTTTACAATTTGAAACAGCATCTTTGGAGATCTTTTCTGCTGGAGATACTGTTGCCCTGAAAAACTTAAAACAAAATGTTAAAAAAAAAACTTACATATACCGATTAACGGTACAGCAGAAAATATTGGCAGTTTTAAAACCTTGACTTTTTTCAAACTGCATTATACTTTGAAAATGGTTATTGGCCCATGCCTCAGCAGCACAACACTGTTTTTAGGATCTAAAAATGTATTCTTTAAATAAAGTCTCACAAGTACACCCGTCTGCAGCCCGCAGATCGGGGCGGGGCTGAATATGGGGCGGAGCTGAATGTGCAGCCCCGCCCATAAATGAGCGAGACTGAACATGTCACTCCGCCCACAAGTCTTTCATTGGTTCATGGAAACAGACGTTGATGTAATGTATGCTTTCGATTCCGGTTTTCATCTCTGCATGGTAAGTACACATCTTCTGTCATGTAAATGGTCAAATTATAGTGCAGTACACCTCACGTATTATGTGTCATTTATTTAATTAAAGGCCTTTAAGGAGATATGAAGTTTTAAAGCCTAAAAAAAAATGTTTTCTGTGTTAGGGTTGGCGTTTTCCAGGTTGATCGTACAGTTGGTGGTTTTATTCACTTAGAAGAATAATGTAAACTTTAAAGAGTTTTGAGCAAAACAGTTCATCACATGAAGTTTATTAATATCAAAGATAACAAAATATATTTTTCTTTGTGGCATGTTCTCTAATTGATATACTCTGGTAATGTTAATGCTAAATATGTACAATATAAAACTTGATTCTTAACTTACTGATCTATACTACATTCTGTTTGCAGATCATTGGCATTGATATATATAGTCATCACTATGATTCCTGTGGAGCATATTCTCTGTTTTATTTTATTTTACCTCAGTTCTTTCTCTCTTTTGTTTTAATAGATTTGTGCATTTAATAATTTTTATTTTTATTTACACTTCATGTTCTCTTTTTTTTGTTTACTTTATAACCCATGCATGAAACTTATGCAGAGGGGAATGTGAGGAGGGGCATGCCTAGTACAAACATATTTAATTCTTTGAGTTTAACTTTAATATACTGTATGTTAAGCGACATGTTGATGATTGTTGGTTATTTTGTACAGATGCCGCCTGAGATCCTGCAGTGGATCCTACTGAGAGTTGTCACACAGGATGGTGATGGGACATTTCTGCAACTCTCACTGACATCCAGGACCTTCTGAGCAATTGTCATTCATTCATTCATTCATTTTCTTGTCGGTTTTGTCCCTTTATTAATCCAGAGTCACAACAGCAGAATGGACTGCCAACTTATCCAGCAGGTTTTTACGCAGCGGATGCCCTTCCAGCCGCAACCCATCTTTGGGGAACATCCACACACACACACACTCATACACTACAGACAATTTAGCCTACCCAATTCACCTTTACCGCATGTCTTTGGACTGTGGGGGAAACCTGAGCACCCGGAGCAAACCCAGGCGAAGGCAGGGAGAACATGCAAACTCCACACAGAAACGCCAACTGAGCCGAGGTTCGAATCAGCGACCCAGCAACTTTCTTGCTGTGAGGTGGCAGCACTACCTACTGCGCCACTGCCTC